CCCCCCCCCCCCCCCTTTTCATTTTTTTAATGCTAAAGCAAATGCTTGCTACCAATGTTGTCTCTTTATTGCTGCATGTCTTTCCAATGGTGCCTTTCTACTACCGCTGTGTCTTTCCAGCTGAAGTTTCTTAATAGTTCTGGAAATTATTTTGTTGACAGTTTTAGAAAGTATTTTATTTTCTTACAAACAGAAAACATTATGCTCTTGTTTCAGAAATTCCATCCGATTGGCATGGGTGAGGCTGCAAAATTGAGTAATAAGCTCCTTGAGCATAGTTCTGATGCTGATAGTGAGATCCCAGACAATGTTTTGAAGTCAAGAATGCCTGCAAAGTTTCATCAACCAGTAAGACTGGCTTAATTTAGCCTCTGCTAATGATAGAAAGTGTAGTTTTTTTTATCTTATTGGTTGGAACACACACTCATAAGAAGTTCATTAAGACAAGTAAGGTGAATTTTATTAGGAAGGAGAGAAGGTAGAATTATAGGACCATAAGAGGGCCAGCAAGTGTTGCCATAGTGTTTGATAACCCTTAACCTGCCACAGGAGGTGGGAAACTATAGGCACTTGGAGAAATTGCTAATGTGTTGATTTCATCAACTTTCAAAATGCTTTTGGCTTCTGATTCTTTATTGCTTATTTTGCTTATGTATATTTCATTTCGTGAATACTTTAACTCAACATGGTGGCAATTGAAAGTGCTATTGCAGTGGGTTGATAAATGATTGTAATTGTTTCTAAACTGAATGTATTACCTATAAGTGTTTTCAAGATAGTTTCTTTTTCATGTTTAGTTTGTCTTGCACTTGCTGGGGCTTCATTGATTGGGAAAGTAAGTGACATAACATGTAATTGAAGCATTAGCTTAATGAACTACGTAAAATTTCTGCAAGTTTTCACGTGTAGGACCCTGAAAAATAGATAACCGATTACTTTCGTATGACATCATTCTGTTATTTTATTCAATATTTAACATGACTATTTTTTCCTCTTTCTGTTTTGGGTGGGTGTGTTCAATGTAGTCTTCAGAACCTGTGAAAGAGAAGCAATGTCCGGAAACAGGCACAGTTGAGCTCCGGCCGGAATTGAGGCCAAAAAGGGCAGATCCTTTCAGCCATACATCTGATGATGATATAGTTACTGTTCCCACTGCTAAAGGAGGGATGAGGAGGAAGCATCATCGTGCCTGGACTCTTGTCGAGGTTATAAAGTTGGTGGAAGGTGTGTCACGATGTGGAGCAGGGAGATGGTCTGAAATCAAACGGCTCTCCTTTTCATCGTACTCATATCGTACATCTGTGGATCTTAAGGTAATCATTTTGAATTCTGGTAGTAAGCCATGTCATGTGCATTTCTGATCTTGGTAAGATTTGGGTGTACTTGCCCTCATTGAACACGTTTATTTTGCTTTGCAGGACAAGTGGAGGAATTTGCTCAAAGCTAGCTCTGCACTGACACCTTCACCTGCTGATGATGGGGTGAGAGTTTATGATACTAATTTTAATTTGATCTTGTTGAGGTGGGTTAAGTTAGGTTTCTTCAACCGTAGGTCGTAATGCATGCATGAAATACGTCGTAATGCATGCATGAAATACGTCGTAATGCATGCATGAAACTGTATTATCATGCATGCTTAAGATGTCATTAATGTCTTATGACTCTTATCTCTTAACAAGCTTATTATTTTATACAAATATCTTTCTGTAATGCTCTTCAGTTTGCATGCTTTTGTGGATTGCAAATTAATGCAGTTCCTGTACACAATTTTTCCTCAAGTTACTTTATAGAAGCGGGGAATTATTACAGTTCTAAAATGAGAAATTTAATTTTAGTCATAAATTCAGCTTCCTTTATTATACTGACTTGTATTTTATTTTATTTTGTTTTGATATTTATAGATAAATTCGCGGAAGCATGGTACGGCTCCCATTCCTGAGAAAATTTTACTGCGTGTAAGAGAGCTTGCTGAGATGAATTCTCAGGTGCCTCCAAGTTATAGCTCAAACAAGTTTGCAGCTGGTGCAGGGAGTTTGCATGGAGGAGATAGATCAGGGTACTTGTAAATAAATACCAAATTCCTTATCAAGCTACAAAAAAAAAAAAAAAAAGTAGAGAAAAAAAAAAAAACTACTTTCTGCACTTTGTTAGACCAATCCTTTGTTGGATGCATAGAGTAGATGCAGTATTGTAGACAGTTGAGGGATTGTTTTATGCACTGAAGCGTTCAATAGAATCGTGTCACTTTTTGGTTACCCCTGTTGTGATGGCTGTAAATTTCTGTCTTAGTAATATGCCTTAATTTTAGTTAGAATTATGATCGTTTAATAATAATAGACTTGGCGTTGTTTACTTGTTTTCTGTTCTATTGCTGTTAATATAATAGTTTAATGAATTTGGTAACTAGCTGAATTAATTAAGAGAAAGATACAATATTTTACTAATATTGATACCATTTTAATTTTAAGGTTGATTTAGAAAGCAATCAAATGGTAATACATTTGTGACAATAACTAAAGGTCTGCGCAAGTTTAGGGTTTTCTAATGTCAAAAATTGCTTACCATTGAAAAAAAAGTTTACTTTCATAAATGGAATCTTTATTCTGATCATTTGGAAATGATGTTTTTGAAAGTTAATAATCCATATTTTTATAAGAATTTAATCAGAATATATTGGCAATGTATAAAATGTGTCATCTATTATAAAATTGTTGATTACTATAATAGTTATTTTAAAGCTCATTTTAAATATTTTTTAATTAGTTGATAGCTTAACCATTTTATACTAATAGTGTATAAAACTTAAAGTCTTTATAACTTCATATAGAAAATACCATGTTAGAACACCATTTAACAATAGTATATGTTAAACCATGATGCATTTAGGACTTCATCAAACTCTAGCTAGCATTTAGCATAATCTTCTTTTAGAAAATGTGTGTATGCCGATGCATATAATTGAGTCGTTGCTTGTCAATTTAAACCCTGTTTGTTGGATTTTGTTTACTTTGAGATTCGTGCTCATGAGTTAAAATGTTAGTTTACACACTAGCCATGTGCTTGTTTTATTTTGGTTCACTATGGTGAATTTAATTCTTTCTCCTTGCATTTTAGAAATATTTGATTGGTTAGCTTAAATTTCAAATGATATGATTTAACTTGTTTTGCTTCCCAAAAACAAAAAATTATTTATGAACATTTATATTTATTTGATAATGAATCACTTGTGTTTTTTGTCTTATTTCTTTTATAGAAAGTAATTGTTATTTATTATTTGATCATATGTAAATTCACTCATGTCATAATTAAGTATTTTTTTTAATAAAATATAAAAACTTTGTTATGATCAAATATTTTTGTCGTGTTCTAGTTAAAATGGAAGATTGTTGGATTTTATAATAAAATAATTGAATTTTTCTATCTCAGTTTTCTTTAATTTTTTTATTTGTTCTGGCTATATGTTTAAAATTATAAGTCCTAAATTATTGAATTTAAAGTTTAGTAAAATGAATGATCATTCTAAAAAATCTTGAGCAATCAAATATGAATGTTTTTGCTATATTTAACGAATCGTAAAACTCTTATAGTAGAAGTGAGGAAGTACTAAAATCTTGCATTTTAACTACAACACTCATGACTAAAATATTTAAATATGACAAAGTGTTCATTGTTGATTGAAAAAAAATCAAAACCTTGCATTATAATCCATATCAAGTAATTAGGAGAGAGAACAATCAACTAGAAAAGAGAATACATGTCAACATGATAATTAACTGCTAACTAATCATGAGACTAACAAAGTTATTAATCGAGTATAACGAAAGTAACTTTCATAACAAAATCAAAATTTAGAAACTAAGATGCAAACAAAATTTTAAGAACCTATCAACGACCTCTATACGACCAAATTGGGTGTTTACTCCAATTTAATGAACTTAATTTATCAAAAATTAGAGAGAGAGACAAAAAAAAAGAGAACTTAATGGTTTTAGGTAGAAAAAATTGGCAAGGAAAATAAATTTGCTTGAATAAATAGATTTAATTATTCTAGAGTATTAACAACATATTCTTTTGAACACTCTCTTATATTAGTTAAAAATTATTAAAAATCATAAAAATTTATGAGTCTCAAATGTTATTAAAGTATATAATAGTGTGTTACTACTTACTATTACTTCTTTTCATTTATTTAATTTCAAACATAACATAGATGAATAAAGAAAAATAGCGCACACAACACACACACATATGAAGTTAGAATCCGTTAATACCATAATATCAAATTAATGAAATGATACATTCAATAACATTTTTACAAATTTAACCAATCTAACTATTATATTAAATGATATTGCATTCATGATTGAACATATGAAATTTCAAATGATTCATACTCTTTTGGATATATTATCTAACAATAGGTATTTACATGTATTTTGATTATTATTTTACACATTAAAATAATATGATAAATTATCAAATAATTTTAGAATTATATAAAAAAATTATATTTGATTTAATTAGTAATATTATCAAATACAATAGTAGAATTGACATTCTATACAAAATTATTGAATATATCATTTTACTAATTTAGCATCATGGTGTTAACAGATCCTGATTCCTAACCATATTATATATATAGAGAAAAGTTCAAACGACGCCGATATAATTTTTATTAAGTATTATACTGCTCAATAACTTTATACAAAATATGAACACTTTAATTACCTTCAAGTTGTTCAATTTTAACAAAATTTTATATAAATATATAAAGTGATATGAAGTTATAATTCAACGGTTAGATTTACAAAATTCATATTTAATATAAAGTTATTGAGCGGTGCAATACTTAGTACAAGTTACATCAGTGTAATTTGAACCCTTCTCATATATATATATCAAAAGTCTTTTAAATTTTTTTTTTATCTCTTTTAATTTATCACTTTTGCTTTTATTTACAAGGTTAATTTTAATAAAAAAAATTATCAATAGTTAAAAAAAATTGTATCACAAGATAAATTATTTATTATAAATATAAAATAAAATTGATAAGATAACAATATTTATTTATTATAAAATTTAATTATAATATAATTTATATATTTAAAAATATTTATTGATTGTAAGTTTTAGTTATATAAAATAAAACTTTATATTACATAAATTAAAATACCAGTATATATATTAATTAAAGAAAATACTAGAATAAATACTCTAAAGCCATTTTTATTTAAATATTATATATATTTTATTTATAATTTATACAAACTAATATCTGATATATTTTAATAATTAACAAATTATAAGAGTTAAATGCAAATCTTTTAAATTGAAGGAATTAAAATTATACATATTTTGATTAAGAGATAGAATTAACATTTAACAAGCCACTACCACTTTTGTGTCCAACCAACCAAAGTCGGTATTATAATACCTTTTTATTAAGAGTTTCCCCCTTTTGTTTTTGTTACAAATTCATTTATGGGTCAGACATTTTTTTTTTGTCTGTGGGGAAATTATTTAGAGTAAGTGGCCCAATAAAAAAAAAAAGATTTTAAATCTGGGCCTTAATCTTCTCTTCTCAGACCTACTCTTCTCTTCTTTTCTCCTCTCTCTCTCTCTCTGCGTTTTCGTTTTGTCATCGTGTTACTGTGTTTTCCGGTGAGCTAAGATCGTAGCTTCCTTTTCTCTCTCTCTTGTTCGATTCTGCCTTTAGCTTAGCTGATTGCTCTTTTGTTCATTTCAGGGAACAATGGGTATCATTGAGAAGATCAAAGAAATTGAAGCCGAGATGGCTCGGACCCAGAAAAACAAAGCCACTGGTACTCATTCCGTGTTCTTTCCATCTATTTTATTCTATTAGCCATAGAATTCCCCCCAAAAAGTGATTTTTTTTTGTTGGGTTTTATAAAAAAAAATATATATATAATATTTGGCCTTATTGTATAATTTTGTGTTCAGGTTTATCTTCTATGTCCTTTTTCTGTTTGATATTTTCGTGATTATGAATGTGTTTGAATTTGTGTGCTATGCAGAGTATCATCTTGGGCAACTCAAGGCAAAGATAGCAAAACTAAGGACACAATTATTGGAGCCTCCAAAAGTATGATGTTATATAGTTGCTGTTTATTTGACATTGTTTCTTGTTTATTCTAAGTTCACTGTTTTGTGTTCTCTTGTGATGATCGATGCAAGCTTGTGTTATATGTTTATTTTCCTTTAACTGATTATTGAATGGCACTTGTCCTTTTAAAATTTGGTCTGTTTTGTACAAGTTAATCCGCAAGTTTTATATGTGGTTCTTATTATCCTTTTGCAAAGAGTGAGAAACCTGATTTTATGTACAAGGGAAAAGGTTTTAAATTGTGGTTTCGGATGAGGTTTGGTTGTGGCCTGCGATCAAAAGGTAATGTGGTTTGCCGCAACCAAGATGTTACGGGTCTTCACATGATGCAGTTCACAATTCAAGACTACAAGAACGAGTTCATGCATTTTAGTTTTAGTATTAGATGTTTGACCTTTCCTTGGAGGGTTAGGTCTGTTTTAATTTTGTAAATTAGGAAAGGAGGGTATATTCCTTGTCCAATTTTGTGCATCGGGTCATTGACAGTATTTTGGCCTTTGCTAGATTGATACTCAGATGCTAAACTTTTTATTGTTTTTGCTGCACTGTTGTTCGAGCTGTCACAGCTCCGTTAGCAATTAGCATACATGCTTAGAAGACTGAACAATAGAAATTCCTAGCAGGAGGCCATTGGTGCCTTTCTTCTGTCTGTAGTCTTGGTTACACCAGTCTTGGATTTAAGTAATGGCTTCGTCTGGATTCTGTAATTCTTGTGTCAATTTCTATGTATTCATTATGAAGGCCACAATAGGAAGAACAAGAATAAATTTTATAATTAGGTTCTGTTTTTGTTGGGTTATGGAATATGGTGTTTATGGATGGAGTGTGATGCTGAATTGTTTTATCTAAAACTCCTTCCCCTTAATATTTGAGTGGTACAACTGCATTGACTTCTATCTATGTGGTAGCTTAGCACATAAATTTTTAGTGGAATTTTTCTTATCAATTACTAAGCAATTGGTCTGTTTCTTTTTTGTTTCCTTCAGTTTCAGTTTGTTTATATGTTTTTCCTTAATTGATGGAGGAATTGTTGGGAAAACAATTATTTGTGTTTTTGGACATTGTTTAGAATTAAAAATATTGTATTTATTTTAGAGATTTGTTTCCTCTTTTAATATTAGGATGCTACATTAATAAATATAGGATCTTCATATAAAAATTACCTGATCTATAGAGGGAGTCACCGCCTTAAATGATAAAGGTAGTCATATGAAGGAGAGTTTTCAAGTTTTGTCAGAAAACTTATCATGGAAGAATTTCAAGTTTCGCTAACAAATTTATGAGGAAAAGATTTTCAACTTTCACCCATAAAATTTATGAGGGAGGAGTTTCCAAGTATTATCCACAAAATTTGAAGGAATGATTTTTAAGATATATGTAATACATTTTGAAATATATAATGGATATCATTGTGAACGAAGATATGAAAAGTCAAACTACGTTAAATAAATTTGGTGTAATCTTTTTATATTTCTTTTATTTCTTTTATGATATTGTTTTAATGTTTTTTTATTGTATGTAAAAAAAAAAAAAGATTTTTTGTTTTCAACATACCGAAATAAGACTAGAGATTATAACATCATGATGTGGCCCAAATCTTCAACACGAAATACAATCCAATTCAAAAAAATGTATTTCTGTTAAAGATAATTTTATATATAAAAAAACTATGAGTGTGAGAATAAATTTAAAAAAAAAAAGGTTTATAAGAATAAGAGTGCCCAAGCTGATTGTGCCTGCGTGAAGAGAAACCTTTGAGTCCAAGTGAATATTGGGGGTGAAAAATCTATTAACATTCTTTTAAATACCTTCATTCTCATTCATTAAAATTTGTTGAAGAACATAAAATTTGATAGGTTTCATACTTTATTCAATGACTCTCTTTTTTAATTTTATTTTTTTAATAAATTTTAACTAATAATAATAAATATGTTTAGAGAAGTGTATCAGATCTAGAAAATAAGTTGACTCTATTGATATCGGGGTTTGTATGCTGACACACAAAAGAGTTCAAAGATACCAACTTCTCTGGACTCTGGTTACAAGCTTTTCCCAACAAATGAAAACAGTAGCACATTATGGTTTGATAATTGATGGCACAGTACAAGTATAAACTATAAAGTGTTGTTCACTTTTTTTCATTGACCAAAATTAGTATTGTCTCTTTTTAAACATTTAAAGGAATGGATTGGTAACACAGTCTCCATTAAGTTGGTCAACCCAATTAAAGGCATTTTAGCCTTTTTGATTAGCATGAATTTTACTATTTTAACATGAAGGCAAACAAATAATAATAAATAAATTGATTCTCAAATTAGCCTACATGTTTGACAACTTTTTCATATTTTTAAAATAGAATGAGTAAAACTAAAATCGAGAGACATACAAATTTTTAACTAGGGTTTTGGGGAAAAAATGATTTTATGTATGAAATCCTAAAGATATATTTATACTTTATACTTCAAATGTGATTTTACTTAGTATGTGTTTTGTTCCAATCTTTGCAAAAATTGATATGATTAAAATCATTTTTAAGTGAAGTCATTTATGTTTAGGTGTTTTATTTTAAAATAAGTTAGTAGTAAACTCAATAATCTTTTTATCTAACACAAATAAACTTTAATTTATTTCAACTAAATTAATACTAGAAATTTTTTTTTGAATGTGAGACTAAACATATACCTAAAATCATGTTAATTGATATTTTAAACAATTTTGGTGGAGAATTCACTATTAGAATCTCATCTCTAATTTATCATCAAAATTTTAAAATTAATTTTACTAAAATATAAAACAAACAAACCCAAATATTATTATTTCATTTGATCATAATGATAACATCGTCATATCATGTTAGCAATGATACCACGTGATTAATAATTAATAGGAATCAAGACTTAAAAATTGATATATATGTAAAGACAATTTTTTTTTAAGATTTAAGATAGATATTAAAATAAAAGCTTAATATTAAATACATTCTCTCTATTTCTGTTCATTTAATACTCTGACACACTTGGTATCATATGGGCATACCAATTATATTCAACTTATCCTAATTGGATGGATAAACATTGCTTTGTCCTCGTACACGACATTTTCATTGAAAGTAACATCTCTGCTTCTAATGATCTTTTTGTTTTGATCATCCCAATAGCGATATCCCATATCATTTTCTCCATAGCCAATAAAAATGCACATTCTTGCTTTTGGATCAAGCTTCTTTATTTGAGATTCTATATACATATTTGTTTCTATTTGTTATATATATATATATATATATATATATATATATATATATACTACTCCAATATCACAAAGCCCAAGTGATACTATGATGAAAAAAAATTCAAATTTTCAATAATTTTAAGTCTGTAAAATATTGTTCTTATGTAGAAATATATTATTTGTGCTTTAGGATATTATTTAGAATTAAAAATATTGTATTTATTTTAGATATTTGTTTCCTCTTTTAAGATTATGATATTAAGTCAATAAATAAATGCTCTCGAGATGAGAAGAATCACTCGACTTGTAAAAGAGATCATTGTCTTAAATGAGAAAGGAGGTCATATAAAGAACGGTTTCCAAGTTTTGTCAAAAAAACTTGTGAAGAAAGGTTTTCATGTTTCATCAAAAAACTTGTGAGAGAGGGTTTTCAAGTTTTGTTAGAAAATTTGTGAGGGAGGTTTCCAAATTTCACTCATAAAACTCGTGAGGAAGGAGTTTTCAAGTTTCATCCACAAAACTTGAAGGGAAGATTTTCAAGATATATATGTAATACATTTTGAGATATATAATGAACATTTTAGTGGACATAGGCAAAAAGAGCTGAACCACGTTAAATAAATTTAGTGTGATATATTTTTTTATAGTGTTGTTTTAATGTGTTTCTTATCATTATTGTATGTAAAAAAAAGGAGATTCTTTGTTTCTAACAATGGTGTCAAAGCCAATGGTCAACTAGATGACACCTTAGAGTCTAGAACGAGTATTTGACATTGTGAGACAATGGATATTCAAGTGTGAGTTCTCTTGTGTCAAAAGTCTTCCTGATAGTGTGGAAGTTAGACATCATGTTCCGTTGATGTGAGCTAATGATGGTGCAAGTATCTAGAGTTCGACAAGTATGACTAAAGCTCTAAGGGTCATCATTGCATACTCATAGATGAAAAAAAAATGTTTATTCTAAAAGGAGGTTACACCATGGTGCTTTTTTGAAGGGAGGTTTGTTGGGGTACAAATAAAGTTCCACATCATTGGATCGTGAAGAGAAAAAAAAAAGGTTTCTAAAGACACATAGCCTCCATTGATATGAGACTTTTTGGGAGATAACCAAAAGCAAAATCATGAGATTTTAGATCCCAAGTGGACAATATCATACTAATATGTAGGGATATGTACGTGTGTGAATCCTAAGTGTCCAACAATTGTATTAGAGCTCATGCATGGTTCGTGGAGTATGGTAACCTGTCACTTGAGTATTGAAGATTGATATACGACAATTACAATATCCAAGAAATGAAAACAAGAAATATTTTTGAGTAAAAGTACAATTGAAGATGATTGTAACAAACATCCATGACAATAAGAAGATCAAATTTGAAATTTTTAATTGATGGAGGAATTGTTGGGAAAACAATTATTTGTGTTTTTGGACATTGTTTAGAATTAAAAATATTGTATTTATTTTAGAGATTTGTTTCCTCTTTTAATATTAGGATGCTACATTAATAAATATAGGATCTTCATATAAAAATTACCTGATCTAACTCCTAACCCTTTCCATATTTTGCCCTTTCATTTTCCAGTGTGGGGAAGTCTACACTTTTGACAATGTTAACGGGCACACATTCCGAAGCTGCATCTTATGAGTTCACAACTCTGACCTGTATTCCTGGGATTATACACTATAATGATACTAAGATTCAGTTACTTGATCTTCCTGGAATTATTGAAGGTGCTTCTGAAGGAAAGGGACGTGGGAGGCAGGTAAAACTAAAATTGCTCATATCTATAATTCCAGTGGTAGTGTTTTTTTATACTCTTTTTTATTCATAATCATATTGCAAATAGTGCTGTTGTTATATTTCCTAATACAGCAAACAGAGGCGTCTGTACCGAGTAGAATGTGATGCTTGGTTCTTTTCATAGAATGCTTTGGAAAGCATGGCTTCCTTATTATTAACAGTGCAGGAGTTTTGTTTTCTGAATTTTCTCTGATTCTCTCAGGTTATTGCTGTTACTAAATCTTCAGACATAGTACTGATGGTTCTTGATGCTTCCCAAGTAAGTGTCATTTTCCATATTCTAATGCAGTCTTTCACTCTGTTGTTAGTATTGCTAGTTGATAAAATGGTTCGTTGGTTGTTGCAGTAAATTATATTCTAACAAGGGATAATAAGTAGCTAACATATTGTCGACTAATTAAACATTATCATTAAAGACACCCTTATTAATGCATAATGTTTCTTACTCTGTGTTCCGCTTGGTAAATAATAAATGTGAGTTCTATCTATATATTTTCGTTTTCCTCTTTTTTTAATTCCATTAACAGGCCTCCTGCCATGCAAAGAATATTCTAGCATACAACAATGCTTGTGTGTCTGTTCACAATATTTTGATCCTTTTCTCTAAATCAATGTTGCATGTGAAATTGCTTCACAGTTACACTATGTAGATGATAGATAGATTAATTATAGTATTTATTTAAATGTGAACTGCAAAACTTTCAATTTTCTTGCCATGACCTTTTATTTTTCCAATGTATCAGAGTGAGGGTCATAGGCAAATATTGACCAGAGAGTTGGAAGCTGTTGGCTTGCGGTTAAACAAGAGACCACCTCAGGTAAGATTGTGCCCCAGTGTTTTGGGATGCATGACATGAAGCACATATTTTATGTATAGCATATAGGTCTGCGTTGGATTTATATATTTTTGTCATCATTTTTGCATTAATTTGGAGCTTTATATTTCTTGGCAGATATATTTTAAAAAGAAAAAAACAGGAGGCATTTCATTCAACAGTACTTTGCCTTTGACTCATGTGGATGAGAAGCTTTGTTATCAGATTCTGCATGAGTACAAGATTCACAATGCCGAGGTATATATCAAACTGTAAAGTAATGTCAGTTGCAATTCCTTTCCAGGGACCTGTAATTGTGGAATATTACAATCATGTAGTTGTCGTCACCAATAAATGTTAGATATGCATTTAACTACTGCCCTAATTTGTTTAAATGTGGTGGAGCAAGTATAGTAAAGTGGGACACTTGTATGGTTGGTGATGTAAGGATGTTTTGTTTCCCATGTACTGTTGTAGTATGGGTTTACAGATCATAACTGTCAAAGGCCAACTCGCAAAACCTTAAACTGTTTGCTAGAAGCCCAAGAATGAATTTATATATCTAACTTATCACTTCACAGTCTTTTGGGAAGAGAGTATGCACGAATCAGGCTCACTTATGTTGAAATATAGCTCTATTATAAAGAACAGGAGCCACAAGGATCATACTCCTAATTGCTTGATCGCAGGCTTTAAATACAAGGTCAATGACTAACAATTTTAAAAACTAAAACTCTTAGACCAAGAGCAGAGAATGATTTTATTGCTCTAATAATTAGAGTAATATTCCTAAATATTTTTTAATTTCTATGGTCATCATTTAATCAGTCATTTTCTTTCTGGAATGAGGAGAAAATATTTGTCCATGAATAAAAGTTGAAATATGCAATATTGTCTATTTTAAAATTTAAATTATGTATAATGAAAAACTCCTAGCAAATGTTATATAAACAAGAAGCTACCGTGTTTGCTGCCTGAAAATATTTAACCAATTCCTTATTAGTGATTACATTTTCTTCTGCAATTTGTTTACATATTATTCTATCATGACTTACTTTATTTGATGCTTCTCTGGTAACTCATGGTCCTGTTTTTACCCGAGTAAAACTATATAACTGACTGAATCTATATTGCTAAGTTTAATCCCTGATATCACTTGTTTCTTTAAGTTACTGTCATTCCAAGTAGAAGTGAAGTTTCGTGTTAATGAAAATTGATTATGAAGGGCAGAGCTAGACTGTCTAAGCTAGTCATGATATAACTGCCTTTTATCAGTGATGGAACCACTCCATCTTGATAAATTTTATAATTTCCATTACTACGTTTAATATAATTGAATCTCTGTTTTCTATTACCAACCTATCTGAAAGGAGTTAGTTAGCTGACAATTTTACCTTCAGATCCTTTTCCGTGAGGATGCCACAGTGGATGATCTCATAGATGTCATCGAAGGAAACCGTAAATACATGAAGTGTGTATATGTCTACAACAAGATAGATGTTATTGGTATTGATGATGTGGATAGATTAGCCCGCCAACCCAATTCTGTTGTCATTAGCTGCAATTTGAAGGTATGTCAATATTTTCACTGTCTGAAGAAGAATGAGATATCATTTGGTTTTAACTTCTAACTACTATTTTTTCCTTTACACCCTCTTCTGCATGTTGCTAACACTACTAACACTTTTTGTAAACAGCTGAACTTAGACAGACTACTTGCGAGGATGTGGGATGAAATGGGTCTGGTTCGAGTTTACACAAAACCACAAGGCCAGCAGCCTGATTTCACTGATCCTGTGGTTCTTTCTGCTGTATGTTGCATTATCCTTATGCTTACTATGAATCAATGACGGCTATTCTATTTAACTATTTTGAAAGAGGAGTTCTAGCAACACAGTGAACACAGTCTAAGCTATCGGTTAAAATTTGTTGAAAACTACAAAATTATGAGTGTGGCTTCTTAAATAAGAAATGAGATTCACAAAATTTTGTAGTTTTCAATAAAATTTAGTAACAAAGAATGTGTTACTAGCATTTCTCATTTTGAAACTTTTGGCTCCTTTTTTTATTAATCTTCTAATCCATCATAGAGAATTCACTTTCTCTGGCAAAAATTGTTTTAGGATAGAGGTGGCTGCACTGTAGAAGACTTCTGCAACCATATACACAGAAGTTTGGTGAAGGATGTGAAGTATGTTCTGGTCTGGGGTGCTAGTGCAAGGCACTACCCACAACATTGTGGTCTTAGTCATAATCTTCGTGATGAGGATGTGGTTCAGATTGTTAAGAAAAAGGTCAGGAAAACCACCCTTCATCTTGTTTATGTTGTCAGACTGATACATCATTGTTCAAATTCTATGTCCTTGCTTGAATGTGTGTTGAGAGATTGAATGTGGTGTATTTGTATCCTTCAGGAAAAAGAAGAGGGAGGAAGGGGACGATTTAAATCACATTCGGACGCACCTGCTCGAATATCTGACAGACAGAAGAAGGCACCATTGAAGACATAATTATATGACACTTCCTATGATTTCATTGATTTGCCTGGTGGATGGGAAAAATGACCAGAGGTGATGGATGATACATCCAAAAGCAAAGGTTCTTATCTTGATTGCTCATGCAACATAGGATTGAATGTTCCTCCTGAGAACTTGGGGCACCTATGTCTTAGTCACCCAAGTGTTGTAACTTGTAATTCCACCCCCGACCCCCTAAATAATAGTTTTGTTAAGTTATCATGTGTGCATCCATGACTTGAAGAGAAGCAGAAAGTAAAGGAAATGGACACTGCATCTTGAAAATTTACTTGGTCACTATTTCTTTGCCTTAATATAATTTTTCTTTGGATAGGACTTATATTCGTGTGTTCAGTACATGGCTTACTACCTGACCCAAATCAATCAAGTGTTTCAACTAAAATTTCCAGATCCGAATTATTCACATCATCAAGAACTTGTCATTGTTTGTTTTAAAGTTAGAAAAGTCGTCATTTTTTTGAATGAAAAGTACATGTTTCAATGCAAATATATAATTCAGATTTAGATGTATATTATAATTAGTGGTGACAGTGAGAAGAATACCTATTCTCTCGTACCCATGTTTGAAAAAGATATGTGTCTGGTCTCGTAGTTTTGACATTTATATCTAATATAAATATCTCCGACGAATTTGTTTAAATGAAAGACTCTAGTGGAAGAAATAAAGTTTCATATGTGCAATAGTTAATTCTAATTCTAATAAGCAAATAGATCAGGTTATGGACTATTGACCCGGTACTCAGCCCAACACCAAAATCAGGCCTGTTAACATGACTTGCCAAGCAATATATATTGTGAAATAATTAATGTACTCTAGTTAAAAGATTAATTTATTGTTCGGATAAAGAATTGAAATAAAAAGAAGTAAAAGTGAAATAGATTTTTAAATTGGTTAGATTGAGAGAAGTAAAAATGAAAGAAAAGTGTATTATAAAGATATATACTTTCGATGATATATTTATATAACCCAGAACATGGAGATAATATCATTTAATTTTAATGGGTTTTACAAAAAAAAAAAAAAAAACTCCCTTTCTCCCACCTCATTTCAATGATTGGGTTTCACTTATCTTTTCTCTTTCACTTTTTTCTTTTCCAAACAATTAAAAACTTCATTCTAACACCTCTTCAAAATCATCCAAACCAACGTACTATAAGACTTTGTTTGGTTATCCGTTAAAATGTCTACGTAAATATTACGAAAAGAAAGTGATCTTCTCATTGAATCAAACGTTCCGTAAGTTCTATTTGTGGGCGAAAAAACAAAGACACACTACGTTTTTTAGATTGTTGGTTGATAACAAAATGAATACCGGAAGAGATCACATGGCAATAAAAGACTTAACATGCTTGCATATTTTGTGGGTACTTCATATTTTATATTTATATAAAAAAAAATAAAAATGTGCAATAAATAGTGTTTCTTTAGAGAAATAGAGAGAGAAAAAGAAAGATGAAAGAAAACATGTCCATAAATGTGGTCGAATAGAGATGCATATGCACACGTGGTGGCGAGTTGTTGAGTTTCATGTGTTTGTTTACAAAGAAGGATATCATTTTATTTGATTCGAGTATTTTGTACTTTAGGATCGCTTTCCACACCCATGGGACCAATTGTGGGGACTAACAAACTACAACCCATTTATTGTTAATATATGAATTCATAATGTATTTTTCTTTTTATATTCTTATCACATTAAAAATTGTTAATAGTATATGTCAACGAGTTGAAGTTTATTATAATTATTTTTAAGTTATACAAAAATATATTTTTTATTAGTTGATAATGAAAAACAATTAAATCAATAAAGCAATTATGTTAGATTTTAAATAATATATACATTAATAATATTTAATATTTTTTTATTATTGTTCATTGACAAATCAATATATATGATTAATTGTCAACAATTTGTTGGTTCAAGTATAATTTAATTCTGTCTCTTTAAGTAATATTTCAGGTTCGAGTATTATTTAAGTAATAAATGAAATCCTTTAATAAATATTAGTCATCAACTAAATTGGTACATACTTCACACTCATAACATAATTACAAAAAAATATATATATAATGATGATAAATTTGGTGTTTTTATAATAATTAATTTTAAATCATATCAAGAATAACTTTTGATTAATTGATAATGTAAAAATTATTGTAATTATAATACATGTTTGTAAAAGTAAACACATACAAAGAGAGGTGTCTAAGTGATTTTGATTTGCGTGCAAATTTAGCCCAAGTAGATTCATGAGTTATAATCATATGCAAAAATAGTGATTTTTTTTCTTATAGATTATTCTAACCTATTTCGCTTAACCTATGAGTTGAGATGATCAATTCTAAGTTTAATCAAGTCAATTTATATTTAAAAAGAAAAAATAATATAATTATTTTTTCCTAATTTTTAGTTTTGAATCTGAGTTTTTTTATTTGTTTATTCTTCAATTTTTTTAATAAATTAATATGTTTTTGGACCATTTGTATTCATGTTTTCTATGTTTATATATATATTTTTTTTAAAATTAAGTGAATCAACTGTTAACTCAATTTACCTAAGTACCTAACTCACTAACTTGAGATGAGTTCATCATATTGTATATTTTTTTAGCTTACTAAAATGTGAGTGAAGTTGGGTTAACTCATTTTTCTTAAAAAAATCATGATAATCTAATATGGACAAGGTTGATCATTCACTTGGACACTTAAGAGATTTTAGTGATATTTTAAAATTAAAATTAAAAATTTACCTTACTATTTATATATCAAGCTTGATATTTATTATTGAGATAATTTTTATTTTTTAATTAGAGAATAACATTAAAATTTATTAAGATATAGTATTTAAGGTTTGTCCGTTATGCACTTCCATTGTTTTTACTTCATTTCTTTTGATCTATTCACTTTGAAAGAAAAAAACAAGTTTCTGTTTATATATTTATTTAAAAAATCAAGATAATATTATTTTTATCTTTCAGTTATATTTTTTTTTTATCTCTATTTCATTGTTAAATACTTCAAACATTATAGAATTCTAAAATGAATGTGAATATTTTATTTCTGTATGGTTTGAGCTTCTTTTAACGTGGACAAACAAAAAGAATGGAGTATTTACTTTCTCCATTTCAACAAGATATTATAGAAGAGGGTGCTACCTAGGTTTTAGTGTTTTTGTTTTTTTCTCAATATATTTTTAATTATTTCCCAGCTTCAGGTCAGTCATCCAATTTTCACATATTTATTGTCATATAATTCTAATAACACATTTTCTAACTTATTATTTTTATAATATTTTATTATTAGTTAAAATTTATAATAAAAAAATATTGAATAAAGAAAATATCAAATAAAATGTAAAATCTATCAAAATTTATGATTTTCAATAAATTTTAATAAATACTAAATATTATTTAAAAAATTATTATAATGTGTTACTAATATTTCTCTAGTTAGAATCTTGGCAATAACTACTAATCATGGTTATTGAGGATGTCCTTGGCTGCGAATGTTTGCATCACCCACTATTAATGATCATACCGAGCTTCCATTAGCAATAGATGCTTGTAATAACCCTAATTATGGATATTGAGATTGTATCTATTTGAATCTCTCCCTACAATCCACGTTTTTCACTAAATTCACGTCCAAAATAACAAAATGAAAAGAAAAGAAAAAAAGTACTCTTAACTTTGAGTTAAACCACGTCCAATTTGAATGTGATACAAAAACGTGAAAACAAACAGGCCCTTAGTTACTAATCATGAACCTTGAAAATGCCCCCTATATTAGTCTTTTGTTATGTATATTAAGCCTTCCTGGATTCTATAACAACAGATAGGATTTTAGTCACTATTCTATAACTAAATTCAAAAAAACTACACTAAAAGTATTATACTTAAACCAAAGAGGCTATAAAGACTATAAATACCAAAACCTAAACAAGTTGAAATTAAAAAACTAAAACCTTGTTTGAATTACATCATAGCTCTTTTTCTTTATCTTTCTTTAACATTCTCTAAAGCACTTTATCTTAAAAAAAAAATGTGGATGTGGATGGATCCTAGGCTCTCAGCATCTACTGAGCCTCCAAATAAAGACTTTGAAGAATATCATATCCTATAAGTCAATTATTGCTACTTTTCCATGGTTCGGCAGAATGCCACCTTCCCTTATTTTAGTATTTTTTTTTTCCTGTAACCATTATGTCAATTCATTATCATCCAACCCAAAAGCCAATAAAAGTGTTCATATCAAAGAATTCCAATAATATTTCATTGATTAGGAACAAAAACTAGTCCTAATCGTGTTTGGTGATCAGGATCGAGTAAATCATCTATGGTCGCTTTCTTTGCACAGTCCAAACATCTCAAAACAAATAATGAAGAACAATGTCTCAAAAAGTTATTATTTTTCATTAATATCATTGAACATGCTCCTGCTTCCCCTCTTCTAGACATGGAAGAGAGGAAAACAAATAAGCAAATAATTTTGAAGTGATAAAAGCTTGGCATATAAACTACCTAGATTTTAATCCTTGATGAAAGAGTTGGTTAAAGATCACAATCATCAATAAATGATGACATTTATTATGAAGTGGGATCTAAGATCAAGAAACCAAATGATCAACATGCAGAACTTACCAAAGGGAAAAGCAACTATCAACAACCAACCAAAAGATCAACATGCAGAACAAATGAATAACTATCAAGAACTTACCACTAAATAGCAGTGAGATCTAATAAGATCAAGCTTGGAAAGTTGACTAAGTGGTCCATGAACATGCTTCATTTCATGAAGTTAAGTTACACAAAATCACAATTGTATAGCGCTCAAATTGGTGCTAACTTTATAGATCAGATGATTAACTAAATCTCTGGCCTTTTAGACATAAAACCAATATGATGGAAGACTTGGCACAAAACTAACTTTGGAGGAAGTTACACACATTCTCACCAATCAAATTCCTTCCAGAATCAGAATAAACTTTAATTACATGAAAGATCAAATTCAGTCAATCAGCTGGATCTAATTCTCTTCTGGTTGACTTTTCCATCAGACTTCAAAGTCCCACTGGAGTCACCTTCAGAAGAAGCCTCTCTGGACTTGGCAAAGGAATTAGAAAGATCAGCATAGAGATCAACCACCCTTCTGATATTGCTATTGAGCTCTCTAATCAAACCAACATTTCTACTCAGATTATCAGGCATCTTGGACTCGTGATTTTGGTTTATCTCATTAATCAGCAACCGGTTCTGATTCAAAATATCTTGAGCTTGCAATAAGCTCTTCTGGAATACCTGTAAAAGTCTGCTATCTACTTGTGTTGAATTCCCTAGTTCTCCAAATATATCACCGTCCATCTCAATTACCCTTAGTATTATTCAGTTAACAAAAAATCCTGCAAAAAACAACAACAGTTAAAACCCTGATCAATATGAAGAAGAAAAAGAGACAAAAAAAGTGTGAGAAATCTTACAAAATTTAAAGAAGAAACAACAAAGAGACAAGCAGGTATGATGCTTAATCTAATCTACCTGATTGCAGATGAGAAAAGGAATTGAAAAAGTTGACTCAGTTGAAACAGGAATTTTGGGAAACACAATGATCAACAAACACACACTTTTACCTATTCTTTCCTCTATCTCCTAAGCAAGCAAGCAAAAGGGAAGGAAGGGTTTGCATAAGATTCCAGAGACATAATCAGGAAGAAATACTTTTCTCTCTCAATGTCCTAAAGCAAGAGACCCTTTTCCACAAGAAAGAACCTGTTTCCTTTCACTGTTACCAATGAAATCAAGATGGCACAGAGCAGGACACAGTGACACACACAACACAAACCACCCCAGTAGTGGGAATCCCAAAAGGCAAGTCAATACCACAAGTCTTCCCTTCCAATAAAATATGACAAACCCATATAAAAAAATTATTAAAAAAAAAAAAAAAAAAACTTGGTTCGACTTTGCAATTTAAATTAAGCACAAACAATTGAAGGATGAAACCCATGAGAGGCAGAAACGAAAAGATGGAAACTTTAGAAGAACCCAGGAATGTGATCTTACCTTGAGAAAGTGGAGCATCGGAGTCGTGGTAAGTGAGGGGAAAAAAAGTAGGAATTTTGTTGGGGTTGAGAGAGATATTTTGAGGAGAAAAAGAAAGGTCCTGAAATGATGGAGAAAAAAACAAGGAGAAGAGATGATAGCGTTAAAACTTAAAACATGGTTTGTTCTCAACAACCGCAGTGTGTGTGTGTGTGTGCGCTGTTGTGTTGTGGGCACAGCGCAGCACTCAACAGAGACAAACGAGTTTCCTCTTGCAACTTGCCCCACACATGTTATCTAACATTACATGCCTTCTCTTCTCTTCTTTTGGGCCTTGCTCCAATCTTTTCTTTTTTCTCAACAACATTAAAAAAACACACATTGTTGTAAAGATGCCAACAATCCTTTGCTTTAGGATATTGTGTATATTATCTCACCGTTTGATTTTAGTCCGTGTATCATGTGGCAGATTTTTCTATTAACACTTCATATTTTATTTATTTATACAGAATAAGTAATATAAATTTTATTTATACTGTTGTTTCTTATGATAAAAAATTATACTGTTATTTATGGATAAATTTTACGCTAATATGACATAGTAACAAATTCATTTAATGGAATTTCTTGGAGAAACAAAATGGCATGATTGTGTCTGTTAGATGAACCAATCATTATTTGCATCCTGTCCCGTGACTCAAGTAGGCTATACTTCCCTTTGGGCTTGTAGGGTATAAAATCAGGCCCAGTTCAGGTGTACTTCATAAATTCTACATCTATCTTTAAATATTTAAATTTAAGTTCTTTGTAAGAAAATAACAATAACTAATACATGTACAGATAGTATAAAATAAAAATACACTATAATTCAATTACAAATTATTATATAATATAAGTTAAATAATTATTGTTTAGAGTCATTAATAATAATTTATGATTAATCAATAGTATTTTTTACGGTAAAAATGCCTAATTATTAAACTTTTAAAATGATATCAACTTATCATTGACTCATGTGACACTAAGTTCAAATTTCTAAAGTAATCTATCGAATCTAAATATTTCGGATGAGATAAAAATAATAATATTTCGCACTGATAATATGGTGTTCCAAAAAATTCATATAACAATAGTTACTACTCCCATTTAGAACTAAAATGAAAAAAATGAATTACTTTATTATAATTTTAAGATAACAAATATTTATCCTTTTTTATAAAGGATAAAAGAAATATTTTAAAAAATCTATTTCCAGAAAACAATGTTTCTACCCAAAAATAATGTTTCCCAAAAATATTATTTTTTAAATTAAACGTAAAAAAAATCAGCATCCTCAACATCAGATTCTTAAAAAATATTTGTGTACTAAATATCCCTTTTCATGTTAGAGTTTTATTTAGTTTTTATATAGATATTGCATATATTTTTAATAAATGTTAAATTTGATGAAAATGCAGGTAATGTATACATTGGTGAATTGTTGCTTAGAAAATTGATAGATTGATTCGTTAATTGACAGCTATGTTGGTGGTCCATAGACATGAATAGGGTCAGTGTCAGCATTCAGTCTACGGATAATACTTTTCTACCGACATTACCATTACCATTACATTGTTGCATCCACCCATGACACAAATCTAGACTTTCACTCATAAACGCTATCTTTGGCAGGGAGAGATAAAAAGAAAAATAAACAAGAGGCAACAATTTTTCCCAATACTAAACTAATCATAGAGTAGCAGTGACAAATGACATATATAATATACTTGAATACCTAGTTCACCTTTTCATATTTCTTTGTCAAAGTTCAAGAGTATCTGTTTTTTTTTTTTCTACGTAGAGATAGAGTGGGTATAATTGACAATTTTGTGTAGCAATCAGAATTGGATTTTTCTTGTTCTTTTTTATAAGAATAGAAAATTCTTTTGACCTGCCAAGTATTGTCAAAGCATGTGAACCAAACACAAATCCAAACTGTATACAATGAGCAATGCAAATTTTTTACGTATCAAAATGTTTGTAGAAACAAATTAAGTTTTAATTAAACCATAAAATATAACAGAGTGACTGATCCATTTGACGGGGAAAAAAAATGGGGGCATAAAATGGAAGTAGTCAACATTATTCAAAACTAAATTAAGGATTCTGATTCCATATCTTAGGTTAGGAGTGTCATGAAATTGGGAAGTGGCTTCATGCCATGATTTTCTCCGTGCTTGATGCTTTTGTTTGGACTTTAGATTTAAATTTGGCACGTGAGATCATATGGAATAGTGTAATTAGGGAAACATAAACATCTGTTCTTTTTTTTTTTTTATCATGTTGTCATGTTTTATATATTTGTTATTTAATGTTTGAAACATGAAAGCATTGATTCTTATGGATGAGTTTGGCAATTTGTGCTCTCCACAAGTCAAAATCTTTAGCAATGCACATAATTAGCAAATCTCTCATATATTATATGATTATTTTCAATTTAGTGAAATATAAAAATATACATTCTGTATAAATATTAATTAATAATGATATGGTTTATTTTCTTAAAGGGGGCTAAATTGAAGAAATGTCATACTCGAGATAGTATACTCTAGTTTAATATATAAAAGTAGAGCAGCTAAAAATAAGGAGAGTAAAGTAATTTTCAATGTAAAAAGAAACAAACTAAAACAAATTGAAGTATTATCATTAAAAAAAAAAATTAAAACAAATTGAAGTGTATGCATCTAAACAAGATATAATTTTTTCTCTCACTTTAACTATATATATATAGAGAGATAATCACTTACTTGAAGAATAAAATTACTCAACAACTCATATTTTATATTAAATTTTAATAATTTAACTATTAAATTATATGTTCTTAATATATAAATTAGACTTGTAATTTTTTTAAAAATTTAAAAATTATCTAATATTTCATTTCATTAATTTAAATTAATATATAAAATATTTTTATAATTGATTATCAATTTTAAATAATAAAATGAAATATCAAATAATTTTTAAAAAATTTACAAATTTACTAACTTGATATATACATTAAAAATTCATAATTCAACAGTTAGATCATTAAAATTTAATATAGAATATAAATTATTATATAAAATAAGTTTAAACTTACTCTTAAAGTAAACAAATCCTTCATATATATATATATATATATATATATTCATCCAAAAGAAAGTGCATAGCATAAATATAAAATATGAAATGAATAAATTTGTTATAGAAAATATGATACAAGTCGTAAGGAAAAATTGCTTAACATAATATTCTCTCTTCACCCTTTTCTTTTCTTGTGCTTATCTTACAAGGATAAACAAAATAAAATTGGCAAATTAAAAGAAAAAGAAAACTACGTAATCAAAATCAAAAATTTAAAGCAAAAAGCTCGATCTAATTCTATTCAATAAAGATATTTTTTTAAAATAATAAATGAGATCAAATAAATATATATATATATACTAATATTTTAGTTAGTGTAATACACATGTTAAATATTTATTATATATAACTAAAATTTTAAATAAATTATGTATAAAATAATTATTATAAATAAAAATTGAATTAGATATAAACTTAAAATAATTCCTGAAAGCTTCTAAGAAAAGTTCTTAAAAACGTTCGTGTTTTATATATATATAAGAATTAATATATTTACTCTAAGAGTAAGTCTTTGGAAGAATTATTTCACTCAATAAATCATGTTCTACATCAAATTTCAACCATCTAATCGTTTAACTAAAAGTTCTTAATACATACATCAAGTCCACAAAATTTGAAAACTATTTAATACTTTGTTTCATCAATTCAAATTTATAGATAATCATAAAAATATTTTATATGTTGATTTCAATCTATATAACGAAATATCATATGATTTTCAATTTTTTTTTAAAAATTGCAGATTTGCTCTATAATTTAAAATTTTTTAATTTAATGATTAAATCGTCAAAATTTAATGTAAAATATAAGTTATTGAGTAGAGTTAGTATATGTAGACATACTCTTAAGTGAATCCATCCTCTCTCTTTCTTTTTCTCTCTCTCTCTCCCTTTCTATATATGTATATATTTATATGAGGAGGGATTCATCCAAAAGTAAGTCTACTTAAACTTACTTCATTTAATAACTCATATTTTATCAAATTTTAACGATTCAAACATTTAATTAAAAGTTCTTAATGCTTAAATTAAATTTTCAAATTGTTTTAAAAAATTGAAAGTAATTTGATATTCCAATTTATCAATTCAAATTGACAAATTCATAAAAATATTTTATACGTTGATTTGAATTAATGAAATAAAGTACTAAATATTTTTATTTTTATTTTTAAATTGTAGACTTGATCTATGCTT